ACCGCTAGGAATAAACTGACGGAAGCGACTCCTCTGCAGCTAGCGGCAGAAGGTGGTCACGCCGAGATCGTGAAGGCTCTGGTTAAGGCTGGCGCGTCCTGCGCTGACGAGAATTGCACTGGTTTCACCGCGGTTCATCTAGCGGCTCAACACGGCCACTGCCACATACTTGATGTGATGAGGTCGTCACGATCTCTTAGAATATCCAGCAAGAAGCTCGGCGTCACTGCGCTTCATGTTGCTGCTTATTTCGGACAAGCCAGTGAGCAAAAGTCTCATAAATAATATATACTATATATATATTAGGGTAGTTCTTATTATTTATACCAGATCAACATTTTTTTTTTTAATTTTTTGCTTACCCTGTAGAATGGTTCCATTTTATGAAAAAATAATCCCTACAAAATTTCAGCTCATTGGGGGAAAAGATGAATGCTAAAAAGCGTTTAAAAGTCCTAAAATAGGATAGATAATAACACAGTTCAACAAGAAAAAAATATTTAAACGGGGTTATTCATTTCCTATAGTTTTTTACACGCTGTATTTGAATCCGGTTGTAAAATTGCTTTATCGTTACAATTTTGAAAAATTTAAAGTTAAACAATATCTTAGTTTTGATTGCAAAAACATACTTTTCCAGCACGTCGCATTTCGAAGTTATAATATAACAAAATACATAAAATTAGTCTTTTTTTTGCAACTTTACCTTCAAATTTCTCAAAATTGTGACATAATAGAGCAATTCTACAACATTCGAATTCACGTTAAAAAACGACTTCTCTCGTTATGGTGTTCGAAAAAAGGTCATTTTTTGTTAAACAGTGTAATAAATAATATATTTTTACATTTATTACAATTAATATTTATCCAAGTTGTGACGAGACAGTCAACTTTTGTCGATGGATTCGTGTTCAGCAGGCAGAAATAATACGTCGCAAATGACTATTGATGATGCATTCGTGATGCAAAATCGTGTCGCATGTTAAATATTATACACATATTAAAATAATCATTTTGTATGCTACTTGAACATTTCTAATATCCAATAATAACAATTTAGTAAATTCTTTACAAATAATAATTTTCATATTTATTATTTAAAATACATATTTATCCTAAAAAATCAGTTCATTCAAAAAATCAATCATTTTTCGGCACCCTTTTCCGTTATTCGATTGAACTAAAATTTTACAGGGATTCTTTTTATGAAAAAAATTATTCTGAACTATAAGATAAAAGTTTCTGTACTCAAAAAATAAGGACCACCTTAATTTATATAATAATTAGTATTACTCTATACAAAAATAAATAAATATGCAAATATATAGTATATGTACACACACATCTATTTATTTATTTATGTATAGAATATTATTAATTAACAATAAAATATTATTGATAAAGCCAATGAATTAGTGTCGTAAAAACCTATTACTAAATTTGAATGCATTCAGTATATATTCAATATATATTGAATGCGTTCAATGTAAATTTAAACATATTTGTTCGATATACCTGTATATCAGTATTTTTAAAAGAGACATTTAAATATGTTAACTGATGAAATAGCACTCTTTCAATTGTACTTCCTCATACTTTCTTTATATTTTATTTATAAAAAGAGAATATTTGGTTTGATTTTAGATATGGTTAGAAAACTGCTAACTCACATATCCAGAAACGTGAAATCTGATTCACCAATTGGAGGATTCTTGGTAAGAGAGTTAGGGGTTGAATCTGGCATGACTTCTCTTCATCTGGCTGCTTATTCAGGAAATGAAAAAGTTGTGCAACTTCTTCTCAATTCAACGGGTGTCCAGGTATGACTTCGCTAATAATTTCATTAGTAATAATATTTGGATTTAGTCAATCATAATTTATGACATTATAAAAACTCAGATAAAACTCCGTCTATATGTAAAAAATATTTATAAAAGTACATGCTTAAAAACAATGATTTTGTCAAAAATTAGAGAACGCTTATAGGTAATCGTAAATTGAGATTATATCGCGACAACTAGTTAAGAAAAATTAATAAATTCAATGTGCTATACTAACATGCTTTTTTATTTCGGGAGAATTAATTTAATAAATTTAAGTTACAATTTTATATTAGTATTCTTAATCTGTTAAAAAGACGGACTAAATTAATGTCGCATTAAACATAAGGATGTCCTGACTGAAGGTAGATGTAGCAACGAAGGAAAACGGCTGGAACTCTTTGCATCTGGCTTGCTTCGGTGGTCACATAACTGTCGTGGGTCTGCTGTTGAGCAGATCGGCGGAATTGTTGCATAGTTCGGATCGTTACGGCAAGACCGGGCTGCACATCGCCGCGACACACGGACATTACCAGATGGTGAAGGTCCTCTTGGATCAGAAAGCAGAAATAAACGCCACCGATAAGAACGGTTGGACACCGCTGCATTGTGCGGCACGCACCGGCCATCTAGACGTTGTGAAGCTGCTCGTGGAAAGTGGCGGGTCTCCGGAAACCAAGACGAATCTCGGTTGCGCACCGATCTGGTTCGCCGCATCCGAGGGTCACAATGATGTGCTGAAATACCTCATCGAGAAGGAGCATGATAAGTATGCTCAGATGGAAGATAGGAGGGTAAGATATCTGATAAAAGGGACAGCAAATACTTTGGGTAAAAAAATTCTTGAAATGAGAGCACAAATATCGAATTTTTAAACTATTGTACAAATTTTCGAATTATCTCTTTTGTCTCATACAGTGTAAAAAATTTACAGACAATATATAATAATTGTTTATAAAGTCTTATAATCTAATAAATCTTAATTTTTTCAAAACTTTTTAACTTTGAAATAAAAAGATGTTCATTTATAAAATATCTTCCACGATTTAATTTACAAATATTCTTTATGTATAAATTGTTATAATGCAGGAAAATTCATATTTAAAGTTATTTCTTTCGCATTGCGTAAAAATAATTTCATAAAATCATTATAGACTATGTTGAATTTTCGAAATTTTCGTACATTATATAGTTGCATTTGGTGTGGCATGAGGTAATAGCATAGTGGCATGATGTCAAAAGATGCACGACATTTGAAAACACATTTTGTCTAACAAAACTGAAGTAAAAAATTTGCTTTTTAATGTTGATTACGCACGCGGGGTAAATTATGCTACAGACAGAAATTTATTGATAATGCACGTGCAGCTCAGATAATTTTAATACGAGATAAGTATATCAATATCGTATAAAAATTCCCACAGCCCTATTATTGCAGAAAACTTTACCGCAATACAATTAATCACAAGCAAACCTCATAATAACTAGCTAAGAATATCGATTAAATCTAATAAGATCACCACATTCACAAAACATGAATTTTATATATCGCGATAATTTAAAATATCATTGATTAAGAAAATTTAATCGTAATATAATTTTAAAGCCTATAGACATGATTGTAATTTTATTTAAAATAGCATACAATTTTTTAATAATAATCTGCATAATTTTTATCTATCTTATATTTGGTGCAAACAAATAATTGTCACAACGATATTTGAGCGCCATATTGCAGGACTTTCAAATTCAGTTCTTAATTTTTGAGCAAATTATTGCGTTTACAGTTCGTCTACAACATGATGGTCTGCAGCAAAAGCCATGACAACAAACTAATCGAGGAATTCATTCTGATGTCACCTGCGCCGGTCGATACTGCGGCAAAACTATCCAACATCTACATGAAGCTTTCCGAGGAAGAAACAGAGCGCGCAAAAGATTTAATTACGGCTGGGAAACAATGCGAAGCAATGGCCATCGAGTTGCTGACTCTGGCAGCGGGCATCGATTCGGCCGATAAAATCTTGATGTCAGTGGATCACAGGAATGTTGAGTTCCTTGACATATTGATTGAGAACGAACAGAAGGACATAATCGCGCACACCGTGGTGCAGCGCTACCTAAAAGAGCTGTGGCAGGGCCTGAATTGGAACCTGTTTAGAACAATCCTGCTGTTCATCGTCTTTGTCGTGTGCCCGCCGGTCTGGATGATGTTCGCCCTTCCGCTCGGGCACAAGTACAATAACGTGCCTGTCATCAAGTTCATGACGTATTTCACGTCGCACATCTACCTGATGATCTTCCTGTTGCTGGTCGGCATCACGCCGATCAATTCAGTGGTGAGGACCAGCCTGATACCGTACTGGTACGAGTGGTGTCTGCTGGTAATGCTGTCGGGATTCTTGCTCTTCGAACTGATGAATCCCAGCGACAAGAGCGGCCTTGGTTGGATTAAGCTGGCGGTGCTATTCTTTGGCATATTCGGCGTCGCGGTTCATCTATCAGGATTAATAATCATCTTTAATAAACTGGGCTTTAAGGCTAATATAATGGATGATATAATGGAGTTTATGGGCTGGACTATTAAACTGGACTTTCAAATTTTTATTTATCTCAGGAACCAACTTTTTGCCCTCAGTTTCATTTTAGCTTGCGTGCAGATCCTGGACTTCCTGTCGTTTCATCATCTCTTTGGGCCGTGGGCCATCATCATCGGTAATCTTATGAAGGACCTTGCGAGGTTTTTCGTAGTGCTGGCGATCTTTATTTTCGGCTTCTCCATGCAGTTCATCGCGCTCAATCAGCGGTTGTATGGACAGTTTGACCTTTACGTAGTCTTTAAGCCGGGAATCCTAGTGGTACCTAGAAAGATGTCGAAGGAAGTATTCACCGACGGTAAGTTCATAACATACGTCATTCTCATTTAATGTTCCTTTCCTCTGTCAGCTTCTTTTCTCTCTCTCTCTTTCTCTCTCTCTCTCTCTCTCTCTCTCACTCTCTCTTAGTGACCGAGACGAGACGAGACTAGCTCGAGTCTCGTCTCGGTCTCTATTTGGCCTCGAAATTTTCAGTCTCATCTCGGTATCGGCTTGGTTTCGACAATGATAATATTGTCTCGGTCTCGGTCTCGAGTCGAGACTCTCGGTCTCGATAATTATAATAAGTGTTTTTTAAATTTCTTCTATGGTCTATGCAATTAAACTTAAATTATTCTTTATTTTATCAAAAGAAACAAAATAAAGCAACATATCGCCCACCTTATCAATAATGGCTAAGGATATTTTTGGAATTACCGCCACTTCTGTTCCAGCGGAAAGATTATTTTCTAAGGCGTCATTAGTTATTAGAAAACATAGGAACAGGTTAAATGAAACATTGGCATGCATTATTTATGTATAAATTCTTGGCTGACTTGTAGTCTTAATAATGAAATTCAGAATATTGTTTCTTGAAGAGTTTAATGTTGTTGACGTAAAAAATTATGTTTTAATAGTATTACACTAAATTGTACTAAAATAAAAAATAAATATCTAAAAAATTAATAAAAATGTGAAAACGTATAAATATATTACAGAAACATATATACATACACCCATCCCTGTTTTTTAAAATATTATAAACATTTATAATCGCATTTGCATATTATTATTATTGTTATTATTATTATTTTGTTTAAATGAAAAATTTGTAGTTATTCCGTTGGAGACAGGAGGGTGGCTCTGACACATTCCTCGTACCAGTGACTGAATTATTATTAATAACAGTATTAATGAATAATTATTATTCGCACTACCAGATTAGGATGCATAAGTATTATTAACCTAGAATAACCTAATAACCTATTTAATGAAGTTATATCTTACACATCACAAAAATCGAGAGTCTCGACAAGACTCTCGATGTCATCGAGACTCTCGGCAAAAAAATCTCATCTCGGTATCGAATTCGAACCTTAAGTCTCGTCTACACACACACACACACATACACACACACACGCACACGCACACGCACACACACACACACATTATAAAGCAAAATCTCAGCTGTTAACTTTAATTAATATTTACACGGACGGTTCGTAATATCAAAAATATCCCTGATACCGCAAATGTCTAAAAACACATGTAAGTATCCGCAAAGGTTTCTTACTTTGTTAAAAATATTTTTTGAATATTTGTAACGTACGGGATAATTGCACGTAACATATAGAAATCGCAAATCTTCCAGTATTTTTTGTTTAAAATCGTCCTATAGTTTTTGTTTAAAATTGGAAACCATCGCGTCAGATAAGAACGCGTGTTTTCTTAGGCGCTTAGACTTTTTCCGACAATAGGCAAAAGCGAGGAATTCATACAAATCGCAGCATATATACATCTATCATGTATGGCTTGAAATCGATTCATTTTGCGATACATTTTTGTAACGTTTATAAGTATAGTATGCGTCTAGGCAGTAGCAGAAAATTTTTGCATTACGTCCGCGTATACACGAGGCATCTTACAAGACACATTGTTCAACGGATAGTTACAGACAGCATGAATCTTGTACGTATTATCGAGTTATTGTTCTTCGCCATCTTCGGCCAGTCGAAATATGAAGAATTCAAGATGGACACGAAGCAGCCAGATTGGACGATCGTCCTCTTCAAGCTCATCTACGGCATTTATATGTTGGTGTCGGTGGTGATACTTATTAATCTCCTAATCGCCACAATGAGCAATACCTATCAGCGAATACAGGCGCAATCGGACACCGAGTGGAAATACGGATTGAGCAAGCTCATTTGTAAAATTAACAGGTAATAAGATATATCGAAGAAAAAAAAGATATTTTAAGGAGAAGAAGTACGGCAGGTTGTTGCACGAAACCATTTATTGCATCATTCATCGCACTAATCATATTTTCAATACGCGACAGGACCACCATGACACCACCCCCGCTGAATCTCTTGACCACGTGGATCATGTATTTTATCAAACTCTACAAGAAACGCACGACCAAAAAGCAACAACAGCTCTCTTTGACGCACGAGATGAATGATAGCGTTGACTTATCGGTAGCTCATCCAAGTTCACTCGGGAGTCAGCTGTCCTTTCATAACACCGTCAAAATCGAGAACGTTGTCGATTGGGACATCGTCAGACGTAAATACAAACACCTTTACGGCGAGAAGATCGAACAGAAGTTGGTCCAAGAGAGCGAAGAAACGATTGAGAATCCGTTGGCGGTTTAAGAAGACACGTCCAGCTTTGCCGAGAATGCCGTGAAATCGGGGCTTGGCCTTGGAGCTTGAACAAAGTGGGAAATGATCGAGATAACCGTCAACAATGTATTATATAACTCTCTGAAGAAGAAAAAGAGATTAAAGCTTTTTCTATCTTTCGCAGATTCGCCACATTAAATGCGTTCAAACGCACTGGGTTATTTGTATATACATATCCGTGGAAAAGACATTAAAAATGTAAAAAAGACCGCCAAGTATATTTTTTAATGTTTTTACCTCAAAAAATTTGTTTTATGAAATTGAAAAAATGAAACCTTTGTATTATATTAAATGTATAACACGACCTCGAAAAAAAAATGTATTAAAAGAAAATCCAAGTAGCAATGTATTCAATATGTAATACAATATTAAATTTAAAAAATGAAACCTTAGCGGTATTATTTTAAATGTATAATACGACCTCGGAAAAAAACTGTTGTTAAATTTAAAAAAAACCCAAATGGCATTATCTTCGTGTATAACACGATTACGAAAATTTATTTTGTAAATA